AAAACAAAAAAAATGCAAAAGTGCCATAGCTGAATTCAACAAAAGCGAAGTAGTAAAAAGCACTGCATTTTTGTCTACTATAATTCTAATAATCACATTTAGAGGTTGAAAATTTTGGCTTCCACAAGTGATTGGATCTTTTTGTAAATAGCCAAAGCCTGCATCATACTTGCATCGTATTCTTCACGCGGCAAATGTGGTAGCATATTCAAAAGATTATGAGGTGAAGGTTCAAAAGAAATGCATGTTGGAAGCAAATGTGCAAGAAAAAATAAAATCAGGTTCAAATATTTGAAACTTGGTAGTAATAAACAACATTGATTTCAAAGAAAAAACATTTAGAGCTGGTAATCTATATGATAACACTCGAGATATGGCTTATGCTACCTTGCGCATAGTTTTTCAGTTCGAGATACCTGACCTTGACATAGCGCCTTCAACAACTGATATTAATTTGTGTAAAAAAAATTTGGTTGTGAAACAGTGGACAGAAAAGTTTACTTAGATCTTCAACCAATTAATTACAGAATATCCACTAGGATTTGCCATGGATAAAATAAATACAGCGCTCAAAGAAGCAGTGAGAAAAGAATGCAATATTTTTCCTCTAACTGTTGTTATCTTAGAAGCTAGGCCAGCACCAAACAGTAACCTTGCAGTATATAAAACTTTGAAATGTATATAGAAGACCTAAAATTAAATCAAGGTAACTCATTAGATATTGTATGTGATGAGGCTATTTTTCGCAGACTTACAGATTATTCCAATAATCAATTAAAGTTAAATCTCATTCTTGGTTAGTAACAAACAAGCAAGAATATGTGTAATGCTTTAATTGTCGCCTTTTTCAGATATGGATTATTTGAATTAGTGTCTGTACTGGATACAAAGTTTTTAGAAAAACTTTAAGATGTTGTCGATTATTGTGCAACATTTCGTGTTCTTGAACTTATCTGGGCAGATGTAGCAATTGTCATTCAAGAAGATATCAAAAATAGAAGCAACAATATTTTAAAAGTTTGGCTCCTATATTATCAGTGGGCAAATTGGCTTAAGCTTCACAAAATTGGTATTCAAATAGGTAATTTTGAAGTTCAGCATGAATATTTGAAAGCTTTTGTGCTACTATTTCCCATCACTAGAAAAAGAAGATATGCTGAATCAGTACCACGTTTCTTGATAACAGTGGAAACAAATCCAGTACAAAAGCAAAACTTCAGATAGTTGGGTCTATAAATCTTACTACGGATGAACACTTTTTCATATTTGATGAAGCATTTGAGTGTTTTGGTGTAAAATTTGTTAAACAAAATATGACTGGATGCCTAACTGATTCAGAAAACTTAAAATTAGTAATTAAGGCAGCCCAAAACAAAAGAGATTAATTGATAGCATTGCATGCAGAATATGTAACTGATACCTGTATAAGCAAATCTATGCATGCAGAGGTTAATCGTAAAGAGGCGTTATGGAAATTAGTAAATAAACTCTCTGAAGCAATTTACTCTGATGAACCCGAAAAGCACCCATTGTTTGAAATCTCTGACCAACTAACACCTAGTGGGTATGAACATATGTTTACTTGTTATAACAAAGAAATAATTAGAATTACGAATATTGTCAAACATGATATTTTAAAGCAGAAGACACATATTTTTTTTTTTTTTTTTTTGGTATTAAGGTGAGGTCTTGCTCATATCTTTATTGGTTAATTTATATAAGTAATT